GTCAATACGTAAAGAAACCGGCAGCCAGTGCAGCTCAAAAAGCGCCGGTGTAATGTGAGAAAACTTTCCAATGCCAAGAACAAGTCTTGCTGCTGCATGACACGCTGTAATTTAGCGATCTGCACCTTTGGTAAGCCATAGTTAATTAACTATGGGTAAGCCAAACAATAAACCATTACAATAATCAAGCCGGCTGGTTATAAAAGCATGAACCAAAGTAATTAAAGAATCTCTCGAAAGGTATTCTTAATACGTCTCAAGTTATGTAAATGATAGAATGCCGCATTACAAGCCTTGTTTATATGATCAGTCATGCTTAAGTTGCTGTCAAACCACGATCCAAGGTTTTTGACACATGAGTTCGGACTGATACGATTATTTCCCACAGTAATGGAACACGAATCTAATTTATCAAGCTGTTGTCGTGTGCCGACAAACAAAAACTCCGTTTTATCATCATTGATCATCAACCGATCTCGAACCATCCATTTCCTCGCTGCATCAATGCACTTTTCCATAGCTTGTATAGCATCGGCTTGGGCAGTGTTGCCAAGTGGTTTAAGACTCAGATACAGCTGCGTATCTTCTGCAAAACAGTGAGCATCGGGAAGACAATATTCCACATTCTTAAACAGCTTGGACGCATATATTATGAATAGCAAAGGTCCTAAACATGAGCCTTGAGGTACCCCGCAGTTCAAGTCAAAAGGACGAGAAAGAACCCCTTGTACAGAAACGGGCTGACTTCTATCAGACAAGTACGATCTAAACCAGTTTAAAGCAGTCCCACGTATGCCAACCTCGTCATATAGCCTCTCTAAAAGTATTTGATAACCAACAGTGTCAAAGGCAGCACTGAGATCCAATAAAATTAACATAGTGACATGTTGGGAAGTCATCTTTAACAAAATATCATTCATAACTTTGATAAGTGCAGTTTCAGTGCTATGGAATGGTCTGTAAGAGGATTAAAGCGCACGAAAAATAGCATTTGAACCCATGTGATCATAAACTTGATTAAAAACGACTTTTTCAGTTAACTTTGATACGTATTGTAAGTATACCTCGCGAATAGGTTGCCAACAGAAAAAATCAGGTCCTAATAGCCAGTCCCCTGCGTATTTGTTTTGCCCTAAGAGGGCCAGCCATTGTTATTCAATAAAATTCCCTTAGCAAGGTGAACAGCTTTTCTTTCTCGAACCTTTAACAACGTCGTGTTGATCTTTAAAGAATTCAGTTCTGCGAGTAGTTTCCTTGCTGTGTCGGTGTTGGTCTTGATAGTGCTCGGGCGCGGGACCCATGGTCGGAACGTTACTCGGATCTCGTCGGGCTTTACACCGGGTTTCATGTAAATCCTCTCTGGCCGTAACACACAATAATACTCGGCCGGTTTGGATAATCTTCAGAGTCTCCGTCGGCTTGGAGCTGTTTGACTCTGCAAAGGGAGTGCACCGCGTGGACACATAAGGTGGTTTTTGGTCCCTATTCGGAACGAACATGAAAATCAGAACCAAAACGGTGTATAGTAANTGGTAAAATTTCTCCACGGAAAGGATCCAACACGATTGATATTACTCCTGCGGAGACCCAACAGGTTCGTAAGGTTGCGTGGACAAACGAAGAATAGGAAGGTATTGCAAATCTTTTTTATCTAAATGTTGAAGAAGGATTTGTTTAAGTATCACTCGTTTTCCCGCCCTTTTGCGGTTTTGCCGCGGAGAACCGCGGGCTTCGGTATATTTTTTCTGTGGCGATTATCTTGGTTTTGGTATGTTTCGAGCTCGAAATAAATTGTTTTATTTGACGACTTCTTTCTGCTTATTTAACTGTTGTGGTATCGAGAACACTGAATTTGCTGAGAAAGGTCTCACATGTGAAACGAAAGTGCACCGCACTCCAACAGGCCTTCAGGAACATGTTCACCAAAGTGAATGGATCAAATCTGCAGCAAGCATGAGGGACAAATTTTACTGACGGAAATACCGTCGAGGCATAGGTCATAGTCCTAGCATACCTTGCATTTTGTCAACCATTTATGGTCACGTCACGCAACATCAAGAAAGACGTTGAAGAAAGATGCAAAATGCCCGGTAGGGGCTGTATGTATGAGTTGTTAACCAAGCGTGAGGGAGGTCAAGATGGCTGGATATTGGCCGAGTTCTTTTTTTGAATTTTTATGGACCGAGACGAAGAATAAGAAAAAAGAACGAGGCTAATATTTAGCTATCTTTACCAAACAAGTTTGGTTGATAAGGATTTATTACATCGCAAAAAGTTTTCGCTTTGATAAGAATTAGGAATAACTTGTTTAATTCGAGAGCGTGGAAAGAAAGCCAACTGTGTTTGTAGCACAACCAACTCACGAGAGTCGTTTCTGTTTTCTTTATTTTGTCTATCTTATGCCACTTTTTGCGTTTTCATCGCTGAAATTGTTCAAGAATTACGAACGTAGTTTCAATTCAATTTTTTTTCATGCACGGGATCAATGCGGGCAATCCCGAGCGGGCAAGACAGACCCTTCTTGCCCGCTCGGGTAGAAAATCAGAACACAGTATTCGCTTCATCTTGCCCAAGGGCGCTGCGAGCGATGTAATAAGTTATCTTATGTTACAAGGTTACCAATGGTGACTACACACGTTTCTCATGGAAGACAACTTAACACAGTAACAATGGCACAGTTTCCTTTATTAGAAGTAAATGAGAGAAATCTAACTTATATTATTTACAACACCTTAGTAGGCGATTATATCCGCTAAAGATCATTTCTCTTTTACATAGATTCTGCTTTGAGACTTTTTGTTTAACTGTACAACTACAATCTTTTATCCTACAACTGTTTTTAAATCTACACTGGGAATCGGTACATGTTGATTTTTCCATTGGCCGGCGGAGCGAGAATGACCGTGGAATTCCACGGTGTTCTTTTAAGAACCTAAGATTTGCGCGCTAATGATTACCCATACAGTTCTTCATAATATAGATGCGCATGCAACCATTAAGAATAACTTAAACCATAACAGTTTTTCTACCGATCTCTAGCATATTACCGTACGTCTTTTTTATTTATATTACAAATTTTCAGAGTCTCTGTGGGTTATATATTCCAGTATCTTTCAATTTACCAGAGCTTCTAAAAGTGTGTCCAGTACTGAATTAATTTTTAAATTAAACGTGAAATGTAAGAATGGTAGCAAATACACTTTAATACGGATATCATATTTCTTTCTGTTTGTTTGCATTTATTTGTTTGTTTTTTGTTTGTTCACACTGAACAATTTGATTAACCTCCATCAGAAACTTGAATATAAATATCTAGTTTATAGTGCTTCTGCTCCATGCAAAGGGATCAAATTTCAATCTGTTTTCCCAGAGCAAATCACAAATTTTTCCATCATAACTGAGTCAGTGTGTCTTAAGGTTATTTTGGAGAATTTAGAGCTCATTGGAAACAAGTTATTTCTTACGATTTTGTGTAGTTTTGCTTGAAATTATTTAAAACATAGCTACTTTCATAGATTTTTATGAGAGTATTTCTGCACAAATACGCTCCGAGGAGCCCTTCTTACATTTGATGAAACGCGAAATGTGTTCTTCCATGTATTCCAAAGGGATCTCTCCTTGACGTAGGATTTGGTAGTGAAACTCTTTTATCGAGAAGTTCTCCCCCAGTTCTCTTTGGGCTTGTTGCCTTAATTTGACGAACGTCTCTTGGCCAATCATGTAACTCATGACAACTGCTGGAGCGTTTTGAAACCGTGTAATGTCCTTAAAAGCCAGGTCACTGTCGTCCCAAGCGTACTGCGCGTAAAGGTTCGTGGCTTCTTCACGCGTCATTCCGAAGTAATTAACGCCACTGTCCAGAACTGATCGTAGAGCAGCGAGGATCTGAAGCGAAATGGTAATGCACACATGCTCTGTGATCAGTGTGTAATGTATTGGTACCTTATATAGTAAATAGCAAATGAAATGAGAAAAGACGAATTTCTTACTGGTTCTAACGAAGCAGCGAGGTGTGACTTTCTCTTATCGGTATTTTCGCTTCAATAAATTCTCTTCGTTTCACTTTATTCAAATTTCCTTGCTAATTTGCTTTACATAAAATTACTCTCTATAATCGTTTAACTTCCCTTTGACTCCCATGACGTGCAATTCTCTCTTGTGGTTGCTATACATTTCCTCGCAATTTCGCAAAGAGAACTTCATAGTGAATCAAGATAACACTCAAAAACTGATGAAAATGTCTGTTATTAATACCCCTTTGCTAGAAAATGCGTTCAGTTTAGGGAGAATTTAATCTTCTATTAAATTTGAAATTAAAAGTCTCAATTATCAAGTGCTCCATCTTTATTGACTTTATGAAACGGAGTTAGTGAAAAAGAAATACTTTATTTTGAAATATGTGGGAGTCCGTTTGTATAGTAATTTTAATGGACCACTCCCTCAATGGGGCTTTTTAGGGCCAACAAAAATAAATAGTAAACAGGCAAATAAACGTGGTATTTAAACATCTCAACTAGAAGGAGGCAGATCAGTCGACTGTTTACATAGTGCAACCAAGGAGTTGATCTCGGGGCAACCGAGTAAGGTGGTAGGCTTGAACGCGGGACCACCCAGATAACAAGTCCAGCGCCCTAACCACTCGAATTCATTGACTCACTATGGCATAGAATACGCGTGTCATTTTCGCATGCGTTACCTGATATTTCAACATCCCATATTTCTGTAACAGAATATCTTTATCCAATATATTGACATACGCATTCGTATCTCTGGCCATCAAAGGGTATTCGACATAAGTTGCCCATCCCTCGGTGAAAGGAGGAACATAGTTTCCAGAAGATATCCAGGATATTGCATCTCTACAAGAGTCTTGAAAATTATCGCTAAAACCTTGGACCTGATATTAAATAGAGAGGAACACATCATGACTGTCAGACACCCGTGACGAAATCCGGGAAAGCGAGAACAATCTCTCAGGTGACGTTAAAGTGCATTTTTGGTTAATGTCGTAGAACAACCACCATATTAATTAGGATGACAGATGGAAATAGAATAAAATTATCAAGATGAGCCGATGAGACTCTGAAATAGGCGCGTAACCTAGTCAGGATTGGATTACTTTTGCTCTTGCGTGTGTTTTCTATACCAATGACAGGGCGTAAGGGATTTCTTTCGACATTCAATTGAGAGGTGCTCTGTATCTGGCAGGGCTCATGGCTTACTGTCTTCTTGCGTGAGGTATACTGAAGTGAGGTTTGAGTGCATTCCAGGCACACGAAACGAAAATCAAACCCCCATTCACAAAACACAGCGGAAGGGGGAATTATAGGCTGAGATAAAATCCAACATGTCCAAAAGGAAAAACAAAAAAAGAAAAAAGCACTCATCAAATGAAGAGCACATGAAAACAGCGAGCGAAGCCACCAAACAGAAAAGCCGCGAGTGGAACCTGAGCACACGTAAGACTCTGCTGGCAAGGGTGGGTTCGAGAAGAAATCGTTCTCGCCCTTCGTTTTGTCGACCGTTATCTGCTCTACGTGATTCGCTTCAAGCACACGGCGATCAAGAAAATGAAAAATACAAATTAAGGCATAAAGAGAAGAGCCCTGTCGATGTTGTAGCTCGTATCCAAGCACAAAAAGGTAGATATCATCTAGCTTTTGTTACCTCCAAATGATGTCCTGGGAGCTGTTCATGTGATGCCGTGGTATACTCTGTGTATTTTGGTCCAAAATCGTCCATAAAGAACGGCAGTGTCTGACTTGCTGGGCATTTAGCGTCGTAGCCATGGAAACATGCAAGAGGATTGAAATCGCCACTTACAGAAATACCACAAGATGGTGTCGTTCTCTTTGAACTGGAATCGTAGAAGAGATCTTTTATCTTGGGGGTTAGAACTTCAGCGACCTTTTTTAAGGAAAGATAGCACATTATAACCTAGAGACGCACTGTTCTTCTGAAAATCTTCTGTTCTTTTTACCAAGTGGATGACTTTCAAAGCAACAGTAGCAACTCAGAAAATTTAACTTAGCACCCACTATTTCGCAATTTTACAATGTTTCATTAAGTTCCAGTTTCAAACACCTCCCCCCCCCTCCCTTGCTACGTCCCCGCAAGATTATATTGTCATGGCGAGAGCATGAATTAACAAAAGTTTTACTTACGTGTTTTGTGTAATTGATCCATTTCTGTAGCGCTCTCCAGCGCACAGGACAAAACGCCCGCGCTCCCACAGGGTAAGCGCATTTCATATATGCCTCATCCCCAGACTCATCATCAGGGAAAGGGTCACGGTTAAAGAACATGTCACGTGATTTGAGAACCTCCCTGAACTTGATAACAGCCTGGTCTTCGTTTTTGAGTCCGGTGTACTGTTTAGCAAGTGTCTTTACCTTTGAAAGAAGAAAAACGCATAAATTGCCACAACTCACCCTTACCTCTCCATACTGGGCGCTCCCGTCACTGACTGGTCCAGGCTGTATGCGCATGCACGACGTTATTTTTGTAATGAGCCCCTTTGGCATTTAGAGGACCAGTCATTATTAAAATCCTGGTTGGGCGGAGGCTTTTAGTGGGGGGAGGGAAGCCACATGATTTTCAGGGGGGTAACGGAGGAGCATCAGTTGTGTCTAACAAAAGTCTTAAGATACATACCCAAATGCGGCGATCTGACTGGTTCGAGCAACATACCTATCGATACGCTACCATAGAGTTATTTTTTTATAAAGAAAGAAAAAATCAAATAGGGAAATATAGAAAATTGACTGTCAATGAAGGGGGATTATGGTGGATTAGGTAAATGTGACTCAACCAAGATCCTCCAATTTCTCTTCCCCCCCCCCTCCCCCCTTCCAGCGATAAATAGTTACCAGCCCCTCAGAGTGACTGGCATCCAATTTCTCCTAACATCATTCATTAAGGTAACGCGAATGAAGGAAATGACTAAACAAGCTCCTGATTGTTAAACAAATTCTCCTTGTCAGTACCCTAGGAAATATATGGAGAACAGTATGGAGAATATGCATACTGATGGTAGGGTGTAAAGGGTTAACATAATGCACGGTTCATCCTGCGGTGTTGCTTCGTTTAAGTCAACCGGTATTAGATTCTCATGATGAACACTTTTTCAGTGCTCTTGGCCAAATATTGGGAAACTTTTTCTACTAAGTCTTCCATTGATATGAAAACTTCTTGATGCTACATTCTCGCGGTTTGAAGAGAAAACTTTTTAAGATCCTTGGCCTTTTGTCTGACGTCTTTTACAGATCAGAATATAACCCTACATTTCAATGAAAATTCTTATTAATTGCAAAGGGGTTAAATCTTGTGCCCCTAATAGCCATAATTTGCAGTACTTATCACGATGTTCTTAGCACGAAACCACCAAAGGTACTGCTACATGTTCATCAAGAGGAATCCCCACCCCCTCCCACTGGTACTCCTGTACTCTAGGAGGGAGAAGGTACCGAGATATTTCAAAACGTCTCGTTCCAAATAATTTAACACGATGACTCTCATTAGAGCTAAGAGAGGGTACCTCGCGATTCACAATCAGGCACGTAGCTCCCTCTACGGTAGAAAAGACTGACATAAATACCTCACTAAGTAAGGCTTCGAGTTTCTTGTAACCCATCGCTTTCAACTCCTCCGGTGAAATGGTGGTACTGGTGAAAAACGACAGTAGTCTTTTGTACGAAGTACTTGCGTTGAATTTGTCTCCGTTCGGAAAGCTCCCAGTAGTCGGGCGATGTCGATCAAGGACTCCATTGGCGTAAACGAAACTTAACGGTAATTCTGCGATTCCCGTCGCACCATCGTAACAATATTTAATATGTTCCTTCTCAAGATATCTAAAATAGGAGATGCCACATGTTTATCAGTTAGGAATCATATCTACGTAAACAACAAACACTGACCACAATTTTCAGTAATCGGGCGATTTCATTTTTTGCCACTACTGAGGTGTTGTGATTGGTCCTGAAAATTCACGAGAATTTCAATTTTACTTCAAACGCCGGCGAGCACGCTCCAACTTTTGAATTCAAGTTTCCCACTGGTTGTTTGATCTTAACAAGTTTTAACTTGAAAGAAGGTAATTTGTTAAAAAATGTCACTGAATTTAACTTCGCATGCCTATTTTGATGCGCTGAGAATCATGGGCACACTTTGTGCTTAAGCTGTACTGAAGCGAACATATCTATCTGATTCCCAAAGTCATCAGCTTTCATGACCCTCTGAAAAGCCAACAGTATATCGTAACAGGTTTAGAGCAATTTACTATCCATACCGTATAAGTCTAGTCAGCGGTTCCCCTAGGTAAACCAATAGAAATCGTCTGAGTGACTCGCGCACGCCTTCTCCTCTTATCTCGTGCCACGTGGCGTTCATTTCGGTGGTTATTTTTGATGTGAAGTCTTTTGAAAGGACTTTTTTTGCTATTCCCTCGTTGAAAATTCCTAAATAAGATAGAGATTTTCCTCAAAAACACTAATGATAAACAAACCGAAGGACAGATAACAACAGATAGACGGCGAAAGGACAAATAGACTAACAGACATACAGACAATTCAAAAGACAGACTGACAGTCAGCCAGACAGACAGACAGGCAGAGAGAAAGGTAAACAGGTAGACAAGAAGACAGCCAGAGAGGAAGACTGGTAGAGAAGCATTCAAAGAGACAGACAACGGACAAACGGACAGATAGACCGGAAGACGAAGCAACCGCCTACGGGAAGACCGGAAGACGAAGCAACCGCCTACGGGAAGACCGGAAGACAGAGAGAGGCAAAAAATGGTTGGGTAAAATTGAATCATAAAAAAACAGATCCATTTTGCGGAAAAGCAAACTAGAGCCAGTTTCACCCTTAAGTTTTACCTCTCTGTCTACAAGTAAAACTGCAATTTCGTCCAAAATGAAAACCAGCCTCGCCTCAATCAACGACCCCTTGCAATTGTTAGAGATTATCTTTTGGCCTGACTAGGTAATTCGAATCCTACCCGTCTCAGCCCTCAGGGAGCCAGACAGGCAGGCCGAGAGACAGACAAACAGATAGACAAACAAGAAAACAGACAAACAGACAGACAGGTATTAGAATCTTACCTGTCTCATTGTGTACAGCAAATTCGTAATAATTTCTCTTGATTGCAATGATCCCTGCTTTGCAAGACTCCACAGAGCGGACTATTCCAGTTGCCACGCCCAGTTTCAGATTCTCAATGTACCGTGAAATTGTACCGTTGTGTTTCTTAAAGAGTTCTTCAAGCTTCTTCAATTGTTTAAGATTACTGGGTTTAAAAGAGTCGATCGTATAACGAAAGTTTTCAAGCACCTGACAAATCGGCTGCCAACAGTACAAATTTGGCTCAAACATCCAGTCACCCGTGTAATAATCTCGTTCGAAAGGACCCCAGTCGAAAGAATGCTTCAGCAAATATTGCGCCACGTACATAGCCTTATTTTCACGTAGTTTCAAACGTGATCCATTCGATTTTCCAATGATCTCTTTCATCTTCTCGTACAATCTTCGAACTTCATCGGTGAAGTTCTTGATAGCGTTTGGACTGGGATCGTAAGGTCGATAATGTTTCGTAATCTCATCGAGACTCACCCTAGGCTTTGACCCTATCTTCTCCGGCATTAGTTCATAGTATTTCTGAAAAAGTTCTTCGAGGTATACATCCAAACCAATACGTTTGGCTTCTTCAGAAAAGCTACAACCAGCGCGAAAGCCGTTGGTCTTTGGATCGTCCTTTTTATCGCCACTAGTAAAAAGAATCACGAGAACAATAACCAAAGCTAAGAGGAGAAGTATTGGTAAGGCGACAAGTGCAATCTTAACAAGGCGAGATTTAGAATTTGAGGTTCTTTGTTTCTCCTTTCCAGTTTTGCGCGGCAAAAATGCGACTGTGGAGACTCGGGATCCCGGCATGCCATTCTCTGAGGACGACGTGGATTTGTTTCGGTTTGACGTCATCTAGATGGAAATAGAAACACTGCATTTAGGCTTTTAACCCTTTCACTCCAAAGATACCCTTAGTAATTCTGCTTGCTGTCTTCCCTACAATTCTTATGATACAGTAAATGGTTTAACCCGGGGGTAACATGTGAAAGTGTAGTGTGATCGTCCAGGTGAGTGTAGTCTTGAGAAGGACTGTTGTCAGTGGTGGTGACTGACATTTCAACAACTTATGCGGAAGTCATCATCCGAGTCAAGTGAATAGTTTTCGTCAGTAGAATGCTCCAAGTCCAGTTCGTGTAAAATGATTGGTCAGTTTTGCCACGATGTTATTGGCTGTAAGAATCGAGTGGCGTAAGTCGGTCGTGACCGGTCTGTTTCGGACCGTCGGTAAAGTTAGGTCGTTCTGTTCGGTTCGTTTGTAATGTTAATGTCGTGAATAAGTCGTTTTCATGGAGCCGGTAGTAGTTGACACCTGTTTAGGGCAGTCTGTTCTAACTTAGTAAACCAGCTTTTCAGAGTCAGTCGTTGAAAGTAGTTAGTGCTGCAGGTTAAGCATTGCGCAGAGTCCCAGTCAATGTTGTGGTTTGTAAGTCGATGATTTTCAGCAAAGTGCAAGATTGTTTACATTACCTTTCCTCGTCGCCCGTCTGTGTTCAGTCAGTCTTATTGCGAGGCTTCTGCCAGTCTCTCCAATGTAGGAGGCTTGGGAATCGGAGCAATTGATGTTACAAATCGCTCCCTGTCTGTTCCTCGGTTCGTCCGAGTCTTAAACGATGGTTAGAAACTGACGTAATGTGGTGATGGGTTTGTGGGCGACGCGGATATTGAAGAGTTGTAGCTATAGGATGCGCGAGATGTTCTCAGACATGCCTTTTATGTGCGGTATGGTTACTGTGTCGTTTGTTTTGGTAGTAGGGGTAGGTCGGTGAGTTTTTCGTCGGATGAAGTCGTGGTTCTAGTTGTTCCTTCACACTTCTCTTATGATGTTAGTTCGGAAAATTGCTATTGGATCAACTAATAACCAATCCCAAGGTTTTCTAGTCTGCTTGACCGTAAGGGCAGATTTTTTTTCTTGGTTACTCGTGGGAGTTATCCAGCGTAAACCGGCCGGGATTGCTTTGGCCTAAAAAACTCGCTGTACCTTCTCAAGCAATCAGATGCACAGCAGAAACGAGGTTAGAAGTGGTCACACTTTACCTCAATCAAGGCCGTTAACACAATTTTACTCAAATCCTTATTGGCTCTTTACGACAATTATTTCAGTTTTTATTTTCTCAGTACCCGCCAAAGTGATAACAACAGTAATACAGTTTATGTTCTCGAGAATAAATATGTTTGGGCCCCTTTCAGAATCGTTTTAACCCTCAACTTGGCTAAAATGACCCAAAGTCAGGCCCAAATAATGTTTATGCCCGCAAAATGTTCTATTGCCCAATTCTCATTCTTAGATTAATAACAAAGCAGCAATTCCAGAAGGTTCATATTTATACACAAAAATTAAAAAAAGAATACTGATACTATTGATACCTTCATACCAGATTTCCGCCACCTTTTAGATTGCCATGCAAGCTGCCGGCACGAATAGTGCGCTTACCAGCCATGAGAGAAACCCGCATTTGGTAGATGAATATTTTGAAGAATAAAAATTCTTAGTTCGCACAGACATCTGAGAATTTAAAATATCGGCAAATGCAACGTTTCAAGCAAAATTCAATTTGCTAGTTTCCCTGAGGGTCTTTTTAGATGAAAGAAATCCTCGTCTAGTATGACGCACCCAAATTTCTATTAAAGAAGTACAGGATTACGTAAATGGCAACCCAAAAGAACCGCAATGAAAAAATTTGATTTTTATCAACAGAAATTTAATTTCCAGTGCTGCTAATCATCTCGTAGATCAACTTAGTTAATTCGTTCTGATTTGATCTGGTACTTGCAGCAAAGATCCTCGAAAAACAAAAGGCATATTTGCATTTTACCAACACTTTTGATTAAAATTACAACGCGTCTCTGTCAAGGTGTTCATATGGAACCCATTTCGTTCTTCGTTGGATTCATTGCGTGAAGACAAATGGATTTCTTATTGTTCTCTATGTTTACAGTTTCTTTCAGACAGGTTTACAAAATTTTAGTCTTTCTTACCCACAACATACCTGCGTTTGAGTAAAATCTTAAACATATACCGGCATTGTAGGGTCGATTACTGAATTCCGAGAATGTTTTCATGAAGGAGTGTAGAATAATAGTCATTAAATTTCCATCAGTTCTCCTCAACTTTGGTCCGGTATTTGTAAGTGACGCCCCAAAATAACTTTGTATCAAGCTGTACTGTTCTTGGGTGGAAAAACGAGGTCGAAAGCAAACATGTAAAAACCCTGAGCCAGAGAAGAGCAGCTTTGTTTAAAAGCAGACCTTTAAAGGGGCAAGTTACAGAAATACACATCGACCGATCGCCTAATAGCTACAGACAACAAACCAATTACTATAGCTTACCTTCGATTGTCAACTCTGAGCTTGACAACGGAACAATGCAATGGGGCCAGAGTTATTAAGTTGAAGAAGCGTCCGTTTTATTCCACGATTTCCGGATGCAATCCTGTTACCCCTTTAATCATAAGTTCTCCGGGCAGATTTTTTACCACGTAGCTGTCACAAGGACAAGAGCTCTGTCTGTGTGTTACACTGGGCTCCTCATTAAAGCTATATGCACTTTGGCCTGTTTGCTTTGAGCTGCGCGCTCTGATTTCGTTGTGTGATACTATTAATTTAAACAAAGTTAACACCAAATTACGTATGCTAATTGATTTTTAAAGCCGAATGTTGATTATCATAAAGTAATAGCGTACAGAAGCTGTGAAAAACAAAATCGAAGCGTTCCACTTAATTCTTAGCGTCCAATTATCCCATTTATTAAGAGATAAAACTGATTTCAACACGCTTGGCGGAGACACACACGCACATCATTGTTTCCCTGCCGATCCTAACCTGGTTGTTTGGAAAGGAAGCGGAAAATTTTGGCCAATTTGATTTTTTAATGCTTCAAAAGAAGTTACACTTTATCCAAATTCACAGCCGGGCCCGTGCGCAAATCTCACTGATCTCGATATTACAATTTCTGTAGGATAGAGTTCCCTTCTGGAATGACACCTCCGTTGTGGGTCAAAGTTTCATTGCTTCTCCATGTGAACGATATAACAGTTTGTATTCACTTTTTGTTTATCATTTTGTGCTATGTTATTTCCTGAGGTCCGTTTTTGCGGTTTGGAATTGATTGAAAATAGAAAATTGTACATTTTCATAAAAGTGTAAATCAAGAGATCTGCATCGGACAAAAAAAAATTGGAAAATATTTGCATTGTTGGAGAAGAGTGAAAGATGTAATTAAATTTCGATAAACATACGAGTTTTACGAGAGCAATTTTAGCGATCCGAATTCATATCATATTCGAATACCTGACAATTGAATCTTTTTCCCGATGTGGCCTTTCGATTCATTTCGCGGTTAAAATTATTGCTGAGATGGCAAACGGCGATTAAATACATGGAAATTCGGTGTCACGGGGCGAAAACTGAAACAACTTATTTTACAAGTCTATGAAATACTTACCGTCGGTCCAAGAAAAACTGTAGAAATCCACGAGACATTAATAAGGACCTGTTCTCGTTGAAATGCATTTTATCAGTCGAGTTATCTCAGGACAACATTAATTCAGAAGAGAAAAAAATATTTATATGTATTTGCCCTGGGGTCATTCTTATCTTTTTAGCTTGGGTGTACAGCTACAGTATGGCATTTTGACGCCAGGACTTTGCTGGATTGATCGAGCATCACTTAAACCTTTCCGGGAGAAGAAAGGACTATGACGTCAAAGGTAGATTTTAATAGGCGATCAAATGAACTTTCCATTTTCTTATCACCTGAAATTCTAATGTGATTTTCCAATAAGGCTTCTACTGTGAAATAACGTGTTCAAATCCAATTTATACGGCTGGTTATCGCTGACGATTGTGCTTAAAACTATCCTGGCGACTTCCGCCCAGCTGCCACGTGTCTTTGACAGCTGATGCTGCATGATCGAAGAGAAGATTACGAAATGACAGTTCAAAAACATAGAGAATCACGTATTAGAGAGTCAAGGCATAAATGTTGAGGCTATGAAGTAGATTATTCGTTTTTCTTATGTTTTCGTTTTGTTGGATTTTTTTAATTCGGGATCTTCCGAAGTGCTTAACTGTCTTCTAAGAGCTCCAAAGTAGATTGTTAAAAAAAAAAAAGAAGAAATTGCGTTTCCTTGCTTGCTTTTGAGTTATTGTTGCTCAGTATGTTTGCAGAACAGTGGCCAGAGTTATATTAACAAAAACAAAATCAAAGCAACTGTCAAAAACAACATCAAAGCAACTGTCAAAACAAAAACAAGACGATGTACAGCTTTTTATTTTGGAGTCTCTCCTCCCTCCCCATTCCTCTTTCCAAGTCTTCTTTTCATTTAAAAATCAATTTTAATAACAGGAGTCCATTACTTGGAACTGAACAAGGAGCAAACCAGATTCTTACATTTGGGATATCGAGGATGTATGAGAACCTTTTCCCCAATTACTCGTTCAGTCGTACTTGCATTTTTCTAACAACTTTTGTCTATCTACATTAATGTGAATGTTTCCTTTGAGGGGAAGAGCCATTCTTGAGTGAGCGTTTGAAAGTCGTAATTCAAATCTTTCATAGTGCCAAATAAAGATATATGTATTTTAAGAGATTTCAAGTAGGATCCAAGCGTGGCCAATCTCTCTCCCAGGGCCTTCTTTTTACAGAATGACCGCGGTACGGTGGACATCGAGGTCAGGCGAGGTTGCTTTTTCCTTAGAGACGAGCGCTGTGTTTCAAAATGGCGCCTTGTCAACATTCAAAATTAAGTTGAAATCAAGCCTGTGATAAAGAAATAGGGGCGGTTTTGGTTTAATATGGAACCGTCTGCGTCAGGAAAAAGCGAGGTAAACTTGAAGACATCCTTCGCCGGCGGAAACGTTAGTAATGGTGTACAGTCAAGTGGGACAACAAACGGCGGTAAGCTTCGATGGCATAATTTATGTTTGATCGAAAATTATTTTCTGTTTTGCACTGTTCTTGAGATTTCCTGTTTACACTCTTGTAGTTAAAATACCTTTTTCTGTACAGTCTATAGCAAAAAGCTACCATAGTACTTAATGCATTCGGAAAACAGGAGATAGCTTTTCAAAATGTTGTCTTCATGTTTTGTCGAAGAATTGGTAGTGGAAAATAGATTGTTAGGTTTTCATATTTGTCATGTCTAGATCTCAAACAAATCAGTCCAGTCTTGGTTGCTTTTGAGCAAGAACTTTCAAGATTTATTAAATACATAAAAAAGAGATCAGAACCAGGATTGAAAACCAAGAAAAGTGACGAAGAACCTTTGGCAAGAGGGTACGTATATGTACAACTTAAATGTTTGGAGGGTTTGTTTGTGTGTTTATTTTTTGTTAGACTATTCGCATCCATCTGAAAGCTACTTCTGCTAATTGATCACTACACATTTCTCTATTCACCACTATCCAATGAAGTTTGTGCTTTATCAAAACTGTATTGATTATTGATAATTGTAGTTATAACCTTTTCAGTACCAACCAGTTTGGGGATGTGTATAGAACTGTGAAACAACTTAACAGTACAGTACTGATCTGTCTTGGGAATTATGACATTAAATATACTTGTGTGTTGCCCTATATATATTCTTCTTAAGACATCAGAATGATCATGTAACAGCTGCTAGCACAGCTAAGCTTACAGTTGCCATGACAATACAAAAAGGAAGCAGGCAGCCATAGTGTGAACTATTCCTTGTATACATGTTTTGACATAATTATTTATTGAGGATCCATTTCTAAGAGTTGTTGTTTCCTTGTATCAATATACTGAAAGATCAAACACATTGTTTTCCATGTGGAACACATATGAGAGCCGTTTACCACAATCTTACTATCAAGAGAAGCTTTTAAACACTGGAGATTTCCTTTTCTCTGTCAAGGTAAATGAATTGCATTGCAATCTTATGAAAAAGTTACAGGTATGTTTTGGTACTGTACACTTTTCATGTATGTGGAAACATGATTAATCAGAGAAGTTTTTTTCTTGCTTTGTGATAACATGCTTGAAAACATGGAATTGCTGAAATTATGGGCAGTTTCCTTTTCTCACTGCTCATGTTTTGACTCGATCATTTGATTAATAATTGCTGGCCAGAAGAAACTGTAAAATGCAAGCAGAGATTGACAGAGATCAGAAATGGAAGATGACTTTGAACAAATAGGATTAGGTTTAGTACAATGCATGAATGGTGCTATTGTAATCTCTGAAGAAATGTGTGCTTGTGAGAAAAACCTTGTGAAATCCAGTGAGGGGAATATATAATCAAAAGAAAAGGTAAACCCTGTAGTGAAGTCTGTTTGCATATGACAAACAAGAAGTTTGGGGCAAATTAGATTGTGTTGGCAAGCAGAAACAAAGAAATTCTTAACAGAGTTAATCTTTTAGAGTCCTGTTTATCCTTGGACCCACTCTCCCTTCTTCAATCACCACAACTGTTGTAATTGTACATGACTCAGCATGATGCAAGTTAACATGCCAAATTTTGCTTACTGTCTTAATTTGTACTTCACACATGACCTACCAAACCTTACCCCATGCCATTTTATGTTAAGGTGACTGGAAAGGGGTAACTGTGGTGTATAATTAATATATTATTAACTCCATCTTTGTCCTGTTTATCTTTATCGAATGACCTGTGTGGAAAAATCTGAGAATTAACATTTTAAAGCCCTTGATATGACTGTTAACATAGAACAATTTGATCTACAGCTATAGTATTCCAGTAGTTGTAGACTTAAAAAATGTTACAGTCAACAAGACTCAGAGCCAATGACAATCAAGCAGGGGAACAAATAACTAGATCAGATAGAAAGTTTGTGACAACCATGACTCTCCAACATGCTATTTTATCAGACTCAATTTGTACATTTTCTTTGGCCCTGAAGGAATACAAACTTGCACATTTTCACTGCTATAGAAGATATCTGGAGAAATATGTTCAGAGAAGCCACACAC